GGTGAGACGCACGCTCACTGAGGTCTCACTGCTTACCGAGTTGTTAACTAGGTGAGGAGAAACAATTAATGTTCCAAATAATACAAGTCATTTGGGATGACCTTCCATTTTAATCATTCCTAAACATTCAATCTAAATGACATGCAAATGGCTTAGACAGAAACATTAGCCATGACAAACGATAAGCATGCTTAGGATGCTCTGAGTTCAGTAGTGCAGTAAGTGTCGTGAATGAGCAATCAAAAACATGCAACAGTTTCCAAGTAGCAAGTACTCACAAATTTCAGAAAATAGGATTTTCTAATCCTTTAGTTCCAATTGCGAATTTCTAAAAATTGTGATGACGTTTCCGTAATCCAAAAAATCCATGTATACTTGGATGACCTAAGAATCATTATGACAAAATTCATGAGAGCAAAGGTATTTGATCAAGGAAAACCAAAACCTCAAGGTCAACTTCTCTTTGTTTCAAGTTCTGAAATTTCAGCAAAATAGCTAACAGGATCATATTCAAAGCATGTAAATGGTCAAACTAAGGATCTAATTTGCAGGCCTTCAAAACCATTATGAAACAGCACAAACAAAGAAGAGTTTTAAGCAAAGAAATCAGCAAAAGGAGCTGGAAAAATAGGAGATAAAGGAGCAGGAACAGAGCACTTCAGAACTGAAAATTTTCAGATAATACAAAGTTTTATTGGTCCTGTTGAAATCCAAACTTTGGACAAACCGTTAGTCCATTAACAATCCGTCAGAACCATAGTATACCTCATCTAGCATAGATGAGGTTTGTCAAAATAATTCTCATAAAAAAGTTCAGGAGACAGGAGAAACGAATCTTGAAAACCGTCACGCAAACCAGAATACTAGTAACTAAACAGACATTTTCAAATCGAGTTTCTTGAAAAATTACAAATCCATTTTGCAATCCATAAAAACAGCGTTGAACTTCACCAAACGAAGAAGAGATTCATTAAAACGATTTCTGGAAAAGAGTACAAGAGCAAGGAAAAACTGGCCTGACGACAGGATAACTCGAATTAGTTTTTTCTGCATTTTCATAAATCAAACAGTGAAGATAATGAAAATTTTGAAAGATCTATAAACCATTCAATCAAATTTGTAAGAAGAGATATAAACCTAAAATCATAGAGAATGAAAACAAACAAAATTCAGACAATAACGACCACGTTAAGGTGGAGTTTCTAAACTTAAAGCTGGCTACTCGAATAGGCTTTCAGAAATTCCAATTTCACCCATGCAACTCTAATCATCGCCAAGTTTAAGATTCTACTAGACTACTACATCTATATACCATTTTCAATCTTCCATTAACATATTTTAACCATTAAACCGACATGCACTTGTGGATTCTACAATATAGCTAGATTATATGTTCGACATGTCTCAACTGGTGCTAAATTTACGGCTACAAATTATCAAAAGATTTGGGTAGCATTGTTACCTTTATTCGAGCCTAATTTTATTCCAAATACATCACCATCAGTGCAGCTCTCTGACCAAATTATCTTACCCTCTAATTCTCCAACTTCCTACATTCCTTCTTAAGCCGATGCCACTCTGTTTCCCATGATTGACTACTATTTCTTGCTGCTAGTACTCCTATAATGGATTTGAATGTTGAAGAATTGAGGAGATGAAAGGGTTATGTGGTGCACAAGGAATTGGGGTGGAGAAATTTCTTTTGTGTTTAGCATAATGAGCGTGATTAATTTGGGGGGCTCTTAGGCCAGTCAAATAGAGAAGGAAATGGTAAGCTTTCCATTAGAAAATTGATCCTAATAAAATTAGTTTGTTTGCATGAAATTCAATTGGGTAATAATGGGGTGAGTGCTTGGTTATAAAATCTTAATTTGTTTGCCAATCCACCAATTTCTTAGTTTAATTATTTTAATGATTAACATTTATATTTTACATTGCAGTCCTACATGAGTGTTCTAGTACAAATCATTATTATTATTATTACTATTATTTTTTTGATAACTAACACTGATCACTTGAAGCATACCATCTATATAAAATTTTCAAAGTTGTTTAGCTTATTATTCTGATGATCTTGGTTAGGTTCTATAAATTTTGTCTACCTACACGTTGCTTTGTGGACAATAAAGGATCAATTGATTAAAAAAATTCAAGTATTGATGATGCATTTCAACGTGTCAACACTAGCACATGCAAAAGTTAAGAAACTAATTAATTAAACTATAAGTGACTTTGGCCTACCCAAACTCATCCCATTCCTTCCCTCGTCATCTTCATCCTCCATTCTTTGTACCCAAATTCCAGATTTCTTTCGGCCAAGTTATCATCTAAACCAGTATTTTTTTTCTTTTTTTTTTTGAATTTTGAAGATTGAAAATAAGTATTAGAAGAAAGGAGCAGGGATCCAAGCTATGGAGAAGAGTGTCTGACATGTTTATGGCATTAGTCTTGCAAATAAAATGGAAACGAGGTTAGACCCAAAATCCTTTTCATCATCCCTTCTTGTGCTTTTTGTTGATTATAATTGAACATCATCAAGGATTGCTTATGATGAGAATCATGTAGCCTTCCGTGATGATTCTCCTAGTGAAGGGAATGAGCTAGTCCTTCATTCTAGTTTTGGAATGCCAAGTTTACTTTGCAGGCCAATCAAGAAAGAAAGGATGGATCGTGACTACCTATGTGATAGGGAGTTGGTTCAAGAGAGCTATGATCAAGGTGATGAGAATGTCATTAACTTTGGGGTTCAAACCAAAGGAGATGATGACCTCATGGAAATAAGTGCTGAAGAGTATCAAGAGAGTTTGACTCTGTGTGCTCCATGAAGATCATTGATCAAGCTAGTGAGAAGAGTCATTTAGGTTCTTGAATGGTCGGCCTATTTGATCAAAGTGTTCAAGATTGAGTCCATTGCTACACAATTGGATAGGTTGCAAACTATCTTAATTGTTTCAAGTCTTTTTCCAATCTTTTGGAGTCAATAAAGAGAATTCTACAAGTTTTGGAGTAAATTGGAGTTATCTACAACTTAAGGGGCGCAAGATCAATGTTCCACTTTTGGAAGGGCGTTCAAGACATTTTACTTCAACAATTTGGGAGCTGAATTTCGAGAATTAGAGTTAGTCTAAGTCTAGGAGTTATTTTCGAAATTTTATCTAGTTAGATAAGCCATGTGGGCTGAATAAAACTAGAGTGTTTTGATTAGGAGTCTTAGATTCCTTCTAGATATTATCCTACTTGAGGATAAGTTATTTACATAAGGTTTCCAAGATTTTAGATAGAGTCAAAGAGATCAAATACTCTTCTACTTTTACTCCTTGTGAGATAAGATTAGAGAGTCCTAATTGATCTTCTTCTTTAGGTGCTGGCCGAAATTCTAAGCCTATAAATAGGGGGCTTGGCCGAAATTTTAAAGCACCCTTGAGTGGTCATTTTTGTTGTCTCTTTTGAGAGTTTTTCCTCTGAGGAATTTTTGTTAAATGGAGTGTCCATTTTTTGTGTCAAGTATGATTTAACCAAGAGGGTTTTCATCTTGTCTTGGATCTTTTTGATCTTGCAGAAACCATTCTTTTTCAAGTATGCTTCTTGATAGAATTGTTTTAAAACAAAACTTCTTATCTTCATACTACTTCTAGTAGTTCGATTGATGAGCCTTTCTTTTGGCTTGGTGTTCGAATTTCATGATGAGTGTGTTCATGAGTTCCATTGTGGGATTTGTCCTACTTTGGTTGGATGAGTTGTGCTTTCGCATAAGTATTTTGAGATAGTGTATGTGTTTCATATCTTTGGTTGGTTATGAAGATTACTAATCAATAGTATTCCTTCATAGTTGAGCATTGATTGCTCCTACCTTTCTTGAGTCTCTTGAATGATGACTGATCGAGTATATTGAATGGTGTCCTTGCTATTCTTAGCGTGGATTGTTGTTTAATTCGAATCTTTCATGGATAATGTGTTCTTTGCTTGGTTTGAGTTAAGGGATAGAATCACTTAGATAAACGATCGTCTTACTGTGAATTTTTTGCACTCTTTTGAGTTTCACGGGATAGACAAAATTATCTTCGTACTTTCTTGTTGATGGTTGCATTAATGAAATTTGCTTCGTCTACGAGATTGCTATCAGCTTAAGTTAAATTGGGCTAGTATATATGTATAACTAGAATCACTAATTATGTATTCATAATTGTAAATTTAGATGATGGTGTCTGCGAAAACAACAGAGATTTAATTGTAAACAAATAAACAAGAAGTTGCCTTACATCAAAAAAATAAAAGAAAAAAGAAAAAAGAAATTACCTTCTATTATCTAATTGTTGAAGTATTCAGCTTTAAGTATAATTGTCATCAGTACATAAACGGCATGTGACTAAATTTAATTGGAGGGAAATTTAGTTTATTGGAGGGAAAATAAATGTAAAATCATAAAAAACTAGAGTTATAAATGAAATAAAACTTCAAATTTCCCGCAATAAACTTCCAACTTCCTGCAAAAACCATTCCCCTATTATAACCCAAAGAGATATAAAATCAATTATGCCGCATAACTTATCCACGTACAAGTCGATTAAGGTTAGTGGGAGCTGAATCTGAGAACCATATTCCATCTTGAACTTCTATTTTCTTTATGATCGCATATTGATTTCTCCGTCATTAAGTTCCGATTAGTTTAGTATTAACTTTTTCTTTTAACAAATTATTGTTTGTTCCAATCACAGATACGATAAGGAAAAAGGATTAGAGTATTGTGAAAAAGGTATGAATCTACTCCTACATCATTTCTTTATTCTTAGAAGGAAATATAAATGTTGTTCGATAGGATATCGAAAATATTTTTACATGTGTGGAAGTTGATTGCATCGGTTAAAATTTATGCCACAAGGTTGTCAATCTGATGTTGTTCTTGGTTCTTTCTTTTTCTGGAGATGTAGTTTTTCACATATCTTATGTACACGTGATTGTATATGAAGATGTAGTTTCTTACCCCATGATTGTATATGAAGATGTCCGGACCGGGGAAGCGGAAGAAGGGAGTATCAACAACCATTGAAGATGAACAAAATCAACAACGCATCTCAACGGGTAAACGCGTACAACTCCCACCAGTATCAAGTACCCATGGATTTAATTTGAGAGATGAAGAAATAAGCATAGATCTACAATCAACACCAAGAATAAGCAATAGAAATCTTGGAGACAAGCGTCTACTTGTATTAGCAACTACACTTTGTACCAATGGTGCCCTACCAACAACAGAATCGATTGGAAATACTGAAGATGATCAAAACTATGATGAGAATGTCATGGAGGATCAATTTCAGAATGACACTCAACAAGTTTCGAAAGGTCAAACTTCTAAAGGTTAGTGTCTAACTTAAAAATCTGGTGTTATGAGTATTATTTGCAAAGGTCGATGACTATTATTTTTGATTTTATATACTAGGTACTTAGCGTTAGTTTTGTCTGTGTGAGTGGGGTTTGCCTGCGCGTGAGTGTTTGTGGCAAATTTGCCAAATTTTCTTTCCCTGTTGAAGTCCCCCATGCAACCAGTAAGGAAATTGTAATGGTTCTAAAATGACAGGTATGGCTTGTATAATTTAATCTTTTTTTAATCAATAGTACATTGTGATTTTTTTTCTTGTTCTGATGTAAACAAAATATAAGGCATTTCAGCTAAGAGAGGTCCTACGAGAAACCTTCGGCTGGCTAATATGAAGGATGCGGACAAGTTGTCTTTGGTTTATTTTGGTGAAGAGGCAAAATGTATAATTGGCCCAGGTGCCCAAGATTTCATCAATGAATTGGGTTGTTGTGTGCGCAAAATGGCTAACTTCACGAAAAGCAATTTTCAGACCCAGGATGAGATATTGAAAGATGAAATCATTAAGAATGCCTCGGTATTCTTTACATTTTTTCACATACATTCATTTATATTGTTTTTAATCTCATTGTTGAAATTAATTGGCATCTTTCATTATATAGGTAAGGTTCCAGTTTGAGGATGACCCATTAGCAAAAGAATGCATTCACAAGCAATTGATCAAAATGTTTAAGACTCGTAAGTACCATTTGCATAAAGTTTTCAAAGAACATGGATCAAAGGAAGAAGCATTGCTGCATGTTCCTGATGGAGTTGATGTGCACGATTGGGTTAAAATATGTGATGTTTTTTACTCTAATAACTTCAAGGTTTGTCTGAAATGAATAATGAAATCATATGCTTTTTTATTGTTCATTTATAAAACGATAACTGAAAAAAGAGTTTGACATCTTTTTTTTTTTCTTTTTCCTTTTTTGTTTTGTTCTTGATAGAAATTATGTACAAGAAATGCTGCGAATCGCTCACATCTTACAACTACAAATGCAAATGGAACCAAATCTGTTCCAAGGAAATTGGAAGAAATAGTATGTGGATCAAATTTACTTAACTACATTCTTTAGTTCTATTCTTTTAGTACGCTATTGTTGCTTCTAATTATATCTATTTAACAACCATAACTCTTCGATTTCAGAGGAAAAATGAGAAAATGCATGTTGACTGTATTGATGCTTATGAGCAAGCCAATTACTCTGAGGAAAATGGTGCTATGAATAGTGAGGAATCAGCACAAACACTGGTAATTAGTCAATAAAACTTATTCAAACTTTTTTGTGGTTTTTTTGTTTCCATTGGATGTCGTTTAAGATAAGTTCCCCCTTCAGATTTTATAATTTATGTTGCATTTGTTTGAACTAACATTGAATTAACCTTTTGATTTTGTAATTGTAAGAGACATTGAAAAACTTGTGCAAAACTACTAACTTGCCCTCATCTCAACTCTATCTACAAGTGATTAAACGTATACCGTGTAATACACGTGGACGATCCATACCCAAAAAACAAGTTGTAGCTTTGGAGAAAAGCCGTATGGAGACTAAGAAAGAGAAGGAAAGAGCTAATGAAGCTGAGAGAGAAAAGGAGCAGCTGGTTGAAAAATTTGCAGCTACTACAGAAGAATATAAGAAATTAGAAGATCGGCAAAGGGTAAATGAGGACAGATATGAAGCACTAAAAAGTCAAGTTGATCAACTTATGCTCTTACAAAATCCATCTCAAAATAAGGTAAGTTTTTTAAACAAAGTATTACTTAATGTCAGATGTTGATCGATAAATACCAAAAATTTTTGTGATGTTTTACACAATTTTATAAACTGAACTACTTCTATTTTTTTTCCTTTTGGTTGCTCATGAATTGTGTACTACAAACAATGAATCAAACGCAAACGAATAAGAAGATTTGGCTGGGGACGGACTTCGATCATCAGCTATTTCAGGAGTATTCTGCTTTGGTTGGGCAAAGGCTTCATTTGATATGTTCTTCTTGTTTCAAATTTGATGCACGTTATGAGACATTCCATATTTTCATATTATTTTAGTTACGGTTATACTGTTGCCTAAATTTTTCTAATGTAAGGGAATTAATCTATAACCGTTTGGTTATGCTCGTTTCAATTTTATGGCAGATCGTTATTCATTTAATTAAACTCATTATTCATTTAATTGTTTAATTGTGCTATATAGGGCGAGAGTTGATTTTTTAGGATTAGTTAATATAAAAGTTGCTTAAGGTTTGTTCTTTGCGGCCAAGTAAAGTTTTCTGTTTCATAGATTTTAAACCAACAAGCTTTTAGCTTTAACATTCCATTTCATACATTTTAAACCAACAAGCTTTTAATTTTATCATTATATTAAGTCAAAATTGACCGCACCAACTAAGCCATCGTTCTTTGGGTTTCATTGAAGCTACAGTTTCAGGTAAATAGACTTAATATTTTGGGGTTGCAAGTGCATAATCAAGCTTCTAATCTTTGTTCTTAAATATTAAGTTGTTTTTAGTTTTTATTTTATTTTGGGTTATCGAAGAATTTTTTTCCTTTGATTACTATACCATTTATCCAATGATATAGTTTAAGTGAAAATTTGAAACCAGTAGACATAATGCACAACAAGTGTTTGTTGTTATGTCCATGTGTATGATAAAACTAAAAGTAATCAAACATGAATTTACTTCTAAAATTTATTATTGTTATTCTATTAGCTACAAATCTATATACGGTGGTTGCCCTAATTAATTATCAAAATTGAATGAATGTTTCACCGATATGCATGGTAGATTCATTTGTCATATCAAGTTAGCTTTTAAGTAGTGATATAAAATTATGTAAATGCCTTAATCATTTTCATTCAAAAGAGGATTTGAATTTGTTGCAGAAAATGGATAGTTCTTGGATGCAGATCACAGATAAAATGGATGAACGCTATGAACGAGGCGTGGATGCATTTTTGGATTTTTCATATAGTGATAAGGATGATTCAGAAACAATCCCTTGTCCATGTAAAGTGTGCAATAATTACTTCAACAAAACAAGAATGGTTGTCTGGAAGCACTTGTTTATCAATGGGATATGTAGGAGTTATGTTAGGTGGGTGTTCCATGGTGAACCACCTGAAGATGATAAAGGTCCAAACAATGTATTAGAGGAGGACGATGACAATGAAGAGGGTGATTTGGAAGAAATGCTAAATGATTTTGAGCAAGCTACTTGGAGGGAAAATTTGATGCATAATGATATAAATGAAAATACTGGAGGAGCATATGCAAATGAAGTAATGAGATTACTGCAAGAATCAAAGAAAGAACTGTACCCGGGTCGCGAGAACTACACCAGATTGTCATTCATTGTCACTCTCCTTCATATGAAGACTACGTATGGTTGGACAGACAATTCTTTTGATGCTTTGGTTGGAGTATTCAAGAAAGCCCTTCTCATTGAAGCTTCAATTCCATCATGTTATTATGAAGCAAAAAAGGTTATTCGAGATTTGGGGTTTAAATATGAAAAGATTCATGCATGTGTCAATGATTGTGTTCTTTATCACAAGGAGTATGAGTCTCACACCATATGTCCAAATAAAAGATGCAGAGAACCAAGGTACAAATCGGAGAATTCAAAAGTACCTCGCAAGGTCCTCTGGTATTTTCCTTTGAAACCTAGGCTTCATACATTATTCATGAACAAGGAAGTGGCTTTCGATATGAGGTGGCATGCTGAAAAACGAAATGCTAAAGATGACAACATCATGCGACATCCTGCAGACAGTGAAGCTTGGAAACACTTTGATATGGTCCATGGAGATTTTGCAAAAGACCCGTGCAATATAAGGTTAGGCCTTGCCTCTGATGGATTCAATCCATTTGATATGAGCAACAGCTATACTATGTGGCCTGTGTTCCTTGTTCCTTACAATTTTCCACCATGGAAATGCATGAAAGATCAATTTTCAATAATGTCAATGTTAATTTCTGGACCTAGGTCTCCAACAAATGATATTGATGTATATTTGCAACCCTTGATTGATGAGTTGATTGAGTTGTGGCATGGCGTTGAAGCTTATGATGCTATAAAAAGGAAAATTTTACACTGCGTGCATCATTGTTATGGACAATTAATGATTTTCCGGCTTATGCTATGTTATCTAGATGGAGCACAAAAGGATACAATGCTTGCCCTGTATGCATGAATGATACAACTTGTGATTATTTTAAGAAGAGTGGAAAAGTGTGTTACATGGGGCATCGCAGGTTTTTGCCAACAAATCATCATTGGCGAAAAGAGAAAAATGCATTTGATGGAACAATCGAGGTTAGAGGTCCGGTGCTACCTAAGTCTGGAGAAGCCATTCAAAATGAGTTGGAAGTCCTCAGACATGAATTTCCTGCATTTGGAAAGGGAAAAAAGGAGGTTGAAGAAGCACAACCAAAGGGTAAAAGGAAGCGGCAACCAAAGCAGAATATAAAAGAAAAGATGAAATGGACAAAGAGAAGTGTTTTCTTTGAGCTGCCATATTGGAAAGATCTGAAACTGAGGCATAATATTGACATCATGCACGTAATAAAAAATGTTGCTGAGAGTTTGATTGGCACAATCATGAACATTGCTGGTAAGACAAAGGACACATGGGGCTGTCGGGAGGATTTGATGAAGCTAAAACTTAAACGACAATTACATCTAGGGGAAGAGGGTGACTTTTCTGTAATGCCTATGGCGTCTTACCATCTGACCAAAGAGGAGATGGCAAAAGTTTTTGATTTTTTGTCATCAATCAAGTACCCTGATGGATTCGCTTCAAACATTACCCGTTGCATAAAGGGTGCAAATTTTCAAATGTCTGCCATGAAAAGTCATGATTTTCACATTTTAATTCACCAGATTCTACCTGTTGCAGTTAGAGGTTGTTTGACAAAGGAGGTTCGGCAAATAATATGTGGCCTTAGTGCTTTTATCACGACGTTATGCTCAAGGACTTCTTATCGAGATCTTTTAGAAGCAAAAGAAAAAAATATTGCAATCATATTATGCAAGATGGAGAAATTATTCCCTCCCTCTTTCTTCGACATAATGGTGCATCTACTGGTACACTTACCTTCAGAAACAAAGATCGCTGGTCCACCACAATTTCGATGGATGTATCCTTTTGAGAGGTATATTTTTTGTGGTTATATATTTTAGCTAAAATTATTTCACAAATTTTTATAAATGATTTTGGCTTCTTTTTATTAGGAAAATGGGGACCTTGAAGGGATACATCAATAATAATGCTCGACCAGAAGGCTGCATTGCCGAGCATTACATAGCAACGGAATGTCTTACTTTTTGCTCAATGTATTTGAATGATGTTGATACAACATTCAATAGAGTTGAGCGGAACAACGACAGACCAAAAGCTGGAGGAAAATATGATGTATTCTCTTGTACAGCACGTCCGTTTGGTGCGGCAAAACTTGGATCCTTTGCAACTTCAGAATTAGCCAAAATACATGCGTATGTGTTAAATAGCTGTGATGACATTCAGGACTATGCAGAGTAAGTACTAATATGTTTTCTCATGAAATACTTATAATGATTTTTAATATTTTTACATAGCTTCCTTTTTTGTTATTTTAGGCATCATAAAAAGTTGCTCGAGCAAGATGATTTTGCGAACATAGATCAAAGGCATGAACAAGAATTTCCTTATTGGTTTCGCCAACTTGTAAGTGAATATAGTTACTTATAATTATTATTTAATCTTATTTTACACTTATTTTGCAATATCACTTTGTGACTTTTTTTTTCCCTCGATTACGTCTTCAAGTGGTACAAGCGATGATGAACTACGATCCTTAGCATTGGGACCAGATGATCGAGTTGCACGATACACTGGATGCATGATGAATGGATATAGATTTCATACCCAATCTCGTGAAAAAGAACGGAAGATGCAAAATAGTGGGATGGTTGTTCAGGGCATGCATGGGAACAACACAGTCGACTTTTATGGTGTTCTACAAGACATCATAGAGGTCGAATATCTTGTTGGAAAAAGAAAATTGGTTTTATTCCAGTGCGATTGGTGGAATATGGGAGATTCATTGGGTATGCAAGTTGATAAAGAATCAGGAATGATCAGTGTGAATTTTTCAAGAAAATGGTACAAGGACCAACCATACATTCTTGCAACGCAGGCTAAACAAGTTTTCTATATGAAAGATATTAAATTGGGTGGTAATTGGTTTGTTGTCAAGAGATTTAATCCTCGGAACTCATATGATCTTCCCGACCTTGAAGATGATGAAATGAGTGAAGAAATAGCCCAAGAAGAAGATCCAGAAATTGAATTGGTTGTGAATTTAGAAACTGAAGACCCTTCATTGCAAATGGTTGATTTATCAGATGTTAATGATGAAAAAGATGATGTTGATCCATTCCATAAGTTATGACCACCGAAATTCACGTCATTAAAAAGTGCCTTTAGTGATCACTTTTTTGGCGTCAAAAGGTGAACCAATCACTAAATGGGGGTTTTTCTTGTAGTGAAAAGGAGCTGCATTCCCAGCATGAAGGGGGATCTGAGTGGACATACAACACACAAAACACCACAAAGAGAGAAGAAGAGAGCGGAGAGCGGAGAAAACTCCAAAGGAAGAAGAAGTCCAGTAGCAGAAAAAGAGGAGTAACAGACCTCACTTTGTCACGCAGGCGAGCAACCTGTTGCTCAGCCATCCAGATTTGCTTCTTCTCAATGCTTTCCTTCTTTTATTGTATTTTCTGTAGTTTGGATGTGTAGTTAATTAGATTTCATTATCTGGAACCTATGTAGTTTAAGTTTGTGATTGCATTCGGATGATTTTGTGTTTTGAAGTTAAAGCTTTTATCTACCTCTTGATTAAATTGGCCATTTGATTGATTGTGCATAGAACTAAGTGAATCCCAGAAGGGTAAACAAGGTTCAGAATCATTTAGCTTCAACTTATGACTTGGAGGTAACAATCCAAGGTTCTAATTGAGATAGGAATATATTTGGTTAGTATAAGCATTCATATAGGGCTTGAAAACTTCATGACTTTATGACTTGATTAATCATTAGAAAATAGTTTAATTGAGTTGATAAAGATACCTCTAGGAAAAATCAGAAGTGACTTAGAGATATATAAGTGCCTGAATGAGCATGAATTCATACCAAAAGAGTGCAACATTACAGCTTGATTACATAGGGAAAAGAGAATGATTATCTAGTTTGCAGAGTCAATTCCTTGAGTCAGAATTCTCACTCCCGTGAGTGAGGTTCCATTTGTCTTTCTTTGTCTTCAGTTCTGCAGAGTCACTTGCCTAGTGACTTTATCCACTCGTACAAGTGAGTGACACTCTGCAACTTTCTTTCTTGTTTGTCCAATTTTGTGTTCCGGTTATTTGAAGTTTAACCCGTCCCTGTGGGATCGACCTGACTTATCCTATCTACATTTTAAGTTGGTAAATTATTTTGGGGGCTTCGACAACCCACCAAAAGTGGCGCCGTTGTCGGGGTCGGCGAAAAACTTCTTTTAACCATTTCTTTGTTTTTGTTTCTTTTCTTTTAATTTTCTAATTTGAAAAGGGTGTGCCAACTCTAAAGTTTGATGGCAGATTATCCTTCATATATAGGAAATTCATATGATTGGAATGATAACCAACACTATGCACCTTATAGTAGTTTTAATCCTTGTTATGTAACTAATGATTTTTACTCTTATGAGCAGGATTGCAACTACTGTACTCCACCAATGTATTCTTGCTATGAGGACAAAGAGATGCAATGCCGAATAGAGATGGAAGAGATATACGAAGAAGTGTTGCAGATGCGACATAGAACAGATTTGGCAGTCCATAGAATGCAAGAAGCACAACGCCATAAAGACTTCCAAGAGATGAAAGATATGCTAAATGAGCTTGTGCAAAGTACTGAACGAATGAGTCTTCATCTCCAAACTATAATTGACAACAACTCAAGAAGAGAGAGACAAGAAGCTCATGAAAAAGTAATCTCATCAATAGAGGACAATGATGTAGAAGATGAACCAAGGGAGGTGGCACTGCAACCACTACCTATACTTCCTCCACCACCATACTCACTCAAGGGAACAGAGAAACTCACTTGTGGGAGTGAGCTGGTAGAAATTGTGGATGTGCTGAAAATTGATGAGACTTATCCTCTAAATGAAGAGGTGGTTGACTTGGAATTTATAGGTACCTTGATGAATGAAGAAGAGTCAATGATCTCCATTGATGAGGGTCATGTTGATGGAGTCAAAGGTAAACATCCTTGGGGAGCGCAAGAAGAGATGGTTGATTTTGATCAATTTCAAGCTGAGAAAATCCCCAAAGTGTTGGAAGAGTGGAGCAATCAAGATTTTCTTCTATATTGGATGATTCAAAAGTATGCTTCCTGGAGGCATGATAGGCTTATTGATGGCACATTCTTGTGGTATCAAGATGGCTATTCTGAGTGACTTGAAGCCACAAGAGTTGATTATGGAATGCATCTTGCATTTTAAATTTTGCTTACTTCATGGGAGGCAACCCATGTTCTTTTCCTTTTAGTTTATTTTTGTGTGATTTTAATTTTTTCTTCTTTAATGTGTGTGCTTCCATTTGCAGAAGAAGTATCAATGTCATCCCAATTCAATGGGTGATCCAAAAATGCAGCAGATCCTGATCACTCAGGAGAGTGAGTTTAGTCACTCTCCCAAGTGTGCCTGCAACAAACTGAGTTGCTGTGACTGGTTTGCTTTCGATTTCTTTTAGTTTGCATAGGATCTGTGCTTTGTTTTATGTTTTGGAGAATTGATGTCTGCTCTGTTCACGCATGATTATTGTTAGTTTATTTTGTTTCTAAACTAAACATGGGAATTTTGAAAACTGAAGCTGTTGACTTTGAAATTTTGTGTGTATTGCTGAAAGTTCTAAGACACTCTGGGAAGTGACTCATGTCACTCGGCAAAGTGACTCTGAACCTACTTGATGTTTGAAGTCAATTTATTTCTTTTACCCACCCATATATTTTGTTTTACCTTCCTGTTTTCTTTCTTCTAGGTTCTTGAGACATCTTCTGTATGTCATATCCTTTAGTAGCTTGTTAATTCTAAAATTTTGCTTAATGTGTACTTGCTAGGTTTTAGTCTGGGGTAAAATTCTAATATCTTTATGAACATTCATGCCATATCTAGCAAGTTTTGTTATTATTTTCAGAATTAGCATGTTTGAGTGCATATGAGTCACCTAGTTATTTCTGAGTTACGATCTTAAAAGCTGAATCTGTTTATGGAACTATAGTGATTCCGTTTGTTGCTTTCTAGTCTATGTGCTTAACTCTAAGAACCAAGGAACTTCATGAGCTTAATTTCTGATATCTTCAATTTGTGTTTCAATTCTAATCCTTGGTATTTGAGAAAACTAAATTTGCAGCTAAAGAAGGGCTGCAGAGTCACTCCCGCGAGTGACCAAAGTCATTCCAGCGAGTAGCAATGGAGAAAAATAAAAATTCTGAACTCTTCCATACTGCTGCTGAATCTTTGTTGTGTTCTGATGTTCAACACAACCGAGAGTTTCCAAACCATCAAACGCATATGATGAATGATGTGCACCATTAAGCCCTCCTCATCCATTTTAATTGCTCTAACTCAGGGAAGTCATCAGCCCTCTACCTCACTCCAGGAATGAGAATATCACTCCTGCGAGTGACTACACATTTTTTCATTTTTCTGCATTTTTTTTCTTTTATGTTCATTTTGTTTTGTGTTTTTTATTTTATGTTATGTGTTTGTCAGCATTGAGGACAATGCTTTGAATAAGATTAGGGAAGTAGTAGGGAATATGTTTATAAATTTTTTTGGATTTTTGTGAATGGTAGTTCTATGATAATTGGATATCTATGAAGACCAATGTACTTAATTTCTTATATCTAATTCAAATTTTGATTTTACCTAACTCTTGATTATCATCTCTACACTACTTAAGCACACATGCCTTTTATGCTTAGTTACATTGAAGTTGAGTTTTATAGCATGCTCTGTGGTGTTCTAAATTGGTTAAAAATATTTAAATGACTTTTCTTACGACCACTAGAATGCGAAGTGTGGTTTGTTTACATGCTAAAGAGTTGACTAAGGCAAGCTTAATGACCCTCTCTAATGCCCTCTTTGGAATTGGTAGGCGGAATGCTCAAAAATGAGTAAATAAAAAAGTTCAAAAGAACTTGAGGGAGTATAAGGTAGAGCATCAATGCTAAATCTCTTAGAGTGAAATGGCAACAATGAGTGATCCTTTGGCCTGAAAAGCAAAGTCTCCTATCGAAAGCTCTCGGGAGAAGGGGTCGGAAGTTGGAAAGAAAAAGAATCATGAGTCATAAATAGAAAAGGCCAAAAGACTCGGAGGTAAATAAAAGGGAATGAGGGAGAATAGTTGAAAAAAATGAATTGTGAGAGTCCTTATATTTCTGAGGCTGTATTGGCCACATTAGCATGATTGTGGTAAGAAAGAATGAGTGATAAGGCTAAGAAATATCTAAATATGCCCCATGAGCTGTTATTTACCTTATACTAATTTGTTACTTTGCATACTTGGCATGACTCACACACATACGGAGGTGATTTCGTAAAGACTAGGTGAAATTCGAATTTGGATGAAGATATACTTGTTTTTCTTGCGTCTGAGATGTTGTATCCGATTGTCATATGAACTAGTTATGTTTGATAGTTGTTG